CTCGAGATATGGTACCATCAGATTACCATCTTTTTTCGTTCGCTGGGAAAACGTATGCAAATGTGGAAGGTGTTAAAGAAGACATTGACATGTTTTTTGCTTAAAAGCCAAGTGATTTCTTTAATCAGGGCATTAACAACCTGAAGATGGGAAAGCATCATCGATAAAAATGGAGACTATTTCATTAAATAAATGTTTTGTTTTGACACATAAGTTGTTTCGGTTTTTTTTTCATCTAATAAAGAGCGACATTAGTTTCTTGACGACCCATTATAACTAGCGACACTTCTTCTCTGGGAAAAACTGGAAGTGTATGCATCTTTGCTTCCTTTGTTACTTACCTCTTAAAGTAATTTATTCCTGCGGTTCTCAAAGTGCGGTCCGCATCCCATTGGTGATCCGAGAGGGTCCCCCAGGTGGTCGGCGAGCTAGTCCAAAATGGAAGTCGCTGAAGTGCAACGTTATGGCTGAGGCCTAACGAGAGAATAGATCTTGTGGTGTAGGACTGGTAGGAGGTCCGCGGGGTCTTTTGCTCTGCCGAAGTGGTCTGCGGACAAAATGTTTGAGAATCATTGATTTATTCGAAAGCTGTGGACTTTAGGTTTTCCGAATATATTACATTAAGTTTCTCCAACATTTCGAAAAGGACATTTAATACTTTTATCTTGTTACTAGTGTTTATAAAATACTACTTTTCTCTGATAATAGGTGGGGTTGGTTAGTCTTCAACTGTGGGAGTACATTTGGAATTACGAACGACAAGTGGCATTATGCTGGACGGTGAGTAATTTATATAATAATAACAACAATAATCTTACGTGGGATGTAGAATTCAAGTTGTTTTTTTTTATATTTCTATATATATTCTAAACACTTATTATTTATAGCTCCAGGCGTAAGCCTACTGTAATAGTTAAACAATAATATTTGTGAACTCTTTCAACAAGCATGTATTCTCCAGCCCTTATGAAAATATGACAGTAATTGACTCCAGAATGACGTGGCCTACTGTTAGCGTGCCCGGACTGTGAATCCAAGGATTGATGGTTCGCATTCCATTGCTGCATAACGGAGTGCTTTCGGGGAGGTCGTGGTTGCACTGTAACAGTAACTGTCAAATCCCACTCACTATTCGTCAGTAAAGAGTGGCTCACAAGTTGGTACTAGATGTTCCTTCCTATAGTATATCAGTTTAAATTAGGGATGGCTAAGTGTAGGTAACTCTTGACGTACAAATCTCGAACAAACCAAACGGAAAATAAAATTGCAAAGAATGATCTTAACAAATTCATGATAACGCATCAAATGAACAGCATTTTCCATAGACTTGCACCCGTTCCTTTAAATCAGCGATGTTGTTGTTGCGTATGGTGTTTCTCACACCTCCAAATTCGTAGTCATGATCCAATCAATGAATGCCTCGCCCGCTTCATGGATTGTACCATATCCCCCCGGTACCGCAGTGGCCGGACAGTGCAACACGAGATCGTCTGTGTCTTGTGGGGATTCCTGACATGCTGAGCATATAGGGGATTCACGATAACCCCATCGATACAGGTTGACCGCTGTTCTGCCATGGCCTGACCTCAGCCTGTTTGCCTGTGTCCTCCATTGCTTCCTGGTTATGTGATAGAAACCGGACAGTGATGTAGTTTTAAACAAGGAAATACACTCTATTATCGTCCAAAATTACATTTTTACTAATACTGTTACTATTCGTAAGATCTTTGTGGAGACCACCAAACATTGTTAAGTCTGAATGCTGTATCTTAAAAGTTATCGTACTATGAAACACTTCGTACGGACGTTAACTGTAACTTATTAATATTTTAAACCTGAACGACATGAATTTAGATGTAGCCGTCCCTAATTTCAAACTACTGACCAGAAGGAAGCCAACTAGTCAACAGTACCTACCACCACAAGGGTTTTGTCCAATATTGAACCGAAACACGGAACTGATCGACTTACTCTTGTAAGCACATTCACGTCTGAAAGTCGGAGTTTGTTCACCGGTAGCGTGGCGCGAACTTTGGACCTTCTGGTAGCAGCACTAACTATATACGGTCCAACCTGTGAAGTAGTTGTATTTAAAACTATAATCATCTAGTAAATCCTCAGTCTCGTTGTACTGTTATTAAGTGTATACGTGACAAGAAGCCTCTTTATTTATTAGGCAAACACAGCAACATTGTACAGTAAGCAGCAAGTAATTAAAATTCTGACCTTGCTGTTATATTGGTCTGAAATATTTACTAATTATGCAACAATAAATAGAACTATTTGTTTGTTTGTTTTAAGACAAAGTCACATTGGGCTATCTGCCATGTCTACCGCGGGAATTCGCGGTCCAGATTTTAGCGTTGTAAGTCCGTGAACTTACCCCTGTCCCACCAGAAGGCCAGTAAATAGAAACTGACTAGTCGTGACGGAAGACCATTAATAGAAACTGACTAGTCGTGACTTAAACAACAACAAAAAAAGACCAGTAAATAGAAACTGAGTAATCGTGACTTGAACAAAAAACAAGACCAGTAAATAGAAACTGAGTAATCGTGACTTGAACAAAAAACAAGA